GAAAGACTTTGGGAGGCTCTTATTATCTTTGTCCCCTGGTGTTCATGCTCTTATGTAATCTCTTCCATTACAGTGTGGATGGGACCTTTGATTTGGAGTATGTCAAAGGTGATGGAATGTATGTGATCATTAATATGTGATTACATAAGGTGTAGTAACTATTATGCTAAAGTCTTTCTCTCTCCTTCTCCTCTCTCTCTCAATATCTCTTTCTGTCTAGATTTAAAGAAGCAAGCTTACATGGATCCTACAGCCACAAAGAAATGAATTCTGCCCGAGGGAGCTTGTAAGTGGACCCTTCCCCTGTTGAGCCTTTAGATGAATATGCAGTCCTAAAGCCACCTTGTTCACAGCTTTGTGAGACCATAAGCAGAGGACCCAACTAAGTTGTGCCCACACTTCTGACACACAGGTACTATGAGATAATAAATGTGTGCTGTCTGACATTGCTGCTCACATAATTTGTAATAATGTGCTATGCAGCATATAGCCTAATACAGCCTGTGATAAACTGAACTGTTCTGTCTTGCTCATCTTTCTTAAATCTAATCCTCTTACTGACTTTCAGTGCCTCTGATGTTGCCACTTAATACCTATGCTGTGATCCTGACTCATAAGAGACACTTCCCAGTGGAGCTCCCAGTGGTTTCAAGATGGAACTGACTTCTGCTGCTGTATTATCTATTTTAGAAGCCATGGCTGTGGCTCAGCATAATACCCAGTCCTTTATAGCTTGAGGTTGATGCCTCAGAGTAATGAGAGTCCTGGCCTCTATTTCATTGAGGCTTAGAGAGAAAATAAATCTGTGGGTGGCCATCTGACTTAGGCAAGGTCAAAAGGAGTATAATTAAAGGAATCAGAAATAAGCAATTCTTTGGCTACACTTGTTCCAGCATTTGTACAGCAATTCTCTGGAGCTCAGGTGAAGAGGTCTGTGCACATGCATCCTCCATTTGTTACACTCCAGTTCCCCAACCACCTAGGTAATAGTTAATGATTAACAAACTTAATGGAACTACACAAGATCGGATAGGATTGGAATGAGATCGTTGCCCTCCACTCCGGCTACCTGCCCTTCTGTACCTGTCCAATGTATACCTTCTTTCATCTTCTCACCTGAGTCCTCTGTCCTCTCTCATCCCCTACACGAAGGCTTTGATAGAGAACTAAACTCGGAGTTAAAACTGCCACAGGCATAATCACTTTCATTAGGATAAAAAAGAAGTTGTATTTCCCCAGGGAATAATATGGTGAGAAAAAAAGAAAAGGCAGTAGGAGTCTAAAAAAGAAAAAAAACATGGGGAGGTCATTAACAGAATTCTATTTTGTTCAAACCTGTCAGGAAGCTGGAAGGCAAAAAGATGATGGCAATCACATGGCAGGAATGTGCCATAGGGGAAAATGTCATGCTAATTGGCAAACCTGTTCCAGCAGGTGAAGGCTAGCATGGGTGGGAGAAGAGACTGCCAGGCTAGCAAGGAAAAATATTTAGGAATTGGAATATTAGGAAAGATTTTTTTTAAAAAAATAAATTTACTTATTTTTTAATTGAAATGTATTGATTGTTCATATTTATAGGGTATAGAGTTATACTTCAATATATGTATACAATGTGTGATGATCAAATCAAGGTGGTTAGCATATTCATTGCAAAAATTTACATGTCTTTGTGATGAGAACATTTAAGCTCATCTAGCTATTTGAGAACATCCAATAAATTATTGTTAATTATAGATGCCTAGCACTACTATATACCACTAGAACTTATTTTTCCTGTCCAGCTGTAATTTTGTGTCCATTAACCAACCTCTCACTCTCCCCCATCCCCTCCGCATTCCCAGCCTCTAGTAACCACAATTCTACTCTCTACTTCTAAAAGTTCAACTTATTATTTTTTTTTTAGCTCCCACATATGAGTTAGAACATGTGGTATTTATCCTTCTGTGCCTGACTTATCTTGCTTAACGTAATGTCTTCCAGGCTCATCCACGTTGCTGCAAATGACAGGACTTAATGCTTTTTTATGGCTGAGTAGCATTCCATTGAATACATATAACACATTTTCTTTATCCATTCATCTGTCTATGGACACCTAGGTTGATTCCATATCTTTGCTATTGTGAACAGTGTTGCAATAAACATGTAGGTGCAGATATCTCTGACATGCTAATTTCCTTTCTATTGGGTAAATAGCTAGCAGTGGGGTTGCTAAAATATGGTCTGGAGAGAGATTGGTACAAAAATGCACATGAGAGCATAGAGGACATTAATTATCTGGCATATTAGGATTAAAGGTCATTGGCAAAATTGAGTGCAAATCAAAATAATCTTAGCTAACATGTAAAATACTCATTATCAGGACCTTTACATGCAATTTACACATACTAACTTATTTATCTTTATAAGCCTATGAGGTAAATATTAGTGCCCTCATTCTATATAAAATGAAAGAGTCAACAGAGAGATCGAATAACTTTCCTAATATGATGCAGCTAATATGTGACAAAGCAAGTATTTAATTCCAGGTATCCTGGCTGGGCTCTTAGCCATTGTACTGCACTGACAAGAAAAAGAGAAGGGAATGGTTTATGATGCTTCCCATGTACACAACACTCTGAATAGAAATAGTCTATTCAGAATGCCTTCTTGTCTCTGATTTTACTTTCTCTATGAAAAATCTAAACCAGGTCAAATGGGCACTCCACTCCCGTTTTATGAAAGGGAGCATTAAGGACTGGATAAGCTATGTAATAATTTAGTGGACAGCCAGAAGTAAAGTTCTGTGCTCCTTATTCTAGAAAATACCTTCCATCTTGCCGAGTTTTCTATTGAAATTTGGAAAATACTCTTTATTCTAACCCCAGTGGCCTTACTTGTTTAAAAAAGAATGTCAGTGTCCATTTTGAAACTGACAAATTTTAAATCACCAGTAACAAACTGAGCTATTCTCTCACTGTTTCTCTTAGCTGAGAAAAAAGGAAATGTTTATATTCTTCACTCTCATATCACATTGTCATGCTGTGTAAGGGCCACCAGAGTGTGATCGATCACACCCAATAGTCTCCCCTCGACTGTCACTTAGTATAATTAGACTTCCAGCACTAGAAAGGATCTGAAAGGTGGCTTTATTCAATTCTCATAAGATAGGTATATCACTGTAAACTAACTTCTAATCTTCTTATAAAATACTCTGTATTAAGTAAAAGATTACCTATATAAGTATAAATCACTTATACAGTATTTATTTGTTCCTGTAGATATGTTTCTTTACAAGTATCCTATGTCCTTTCCATGTATGTTTATTTTTATTCTGGCTTTAGGTTCTATTTTCTTGAGTGGCAGAATTTATTTCTCAATCAGAACATCACTTTTCCATAGAAAAAGAGAGAGAGAGAGAAACAAAGAAATAAACCTACAAATATTGGAACCCAGTTCGTGAAAAGTATGTCTGTCTAACTTATCTGTTTCAATGGGAACCGAAGTCAGGGTAAAGAAGAATGTCATTGATATCACCTGGAAATTCTAATCTTCAGACCTGCTCTCTCCAAAGACAGGATAGCTTTCCAGTTCATTTGGCGACTTCTCAGTCCTACCCCAATGGTTAGAAATAAATGGCCTGGAACCAGGAGTTGATCATCAACAAAGTGAACAGGAGGGCTTCAAAGAGCAAGGAGGAGGGGGGTGTTAATCACACGGATGGAGGTAAAAGGAGATTGGCAGGGTGGCTTTCAACCTTCAGCAGTCATCCTGGAGTGCTGTGGTGAAGGATCAAGAATCACTAGTTTTCTGATGAAGAAGAGAAGAAATTTGGTCACCAGCAATCTGCCTCCTCAAAGCCAAGTTTCTCATCACTGACTACAAAATAATAACTCACTCAGAGGACAAACGTGTCCTCTGAATGTCTTCCTTTCAGGGGCAGTAGGAGAAAGAAAGTGAAAGATATAGAGAGGATTAATAGTAGAAAAGAAGGAAAGAAAGCAAGGGAAGCAACCATACAGACCATAAAAACAGAAATAGAGAAGGAAACCAGAAGGAAAGGGGAGATAAAGTACATAGAAAATAAAAGCCAGAGGGAGTAAGAGCAAACGCTAGAGAGAAAGAGAAGGAAAAACTGAGATTTATTGCTGAGAAAAGTTTCTCTCCTTAAGAATTCTAGGTTGAGAAGTCAAACATGGCCCAGAGCACAGAAAGGAGGCCACGGGCACCCAGTGCGTGATCCTGAAGTTCAGCCTGATGGGAGCCCGAGCCCAGATCGTGATGGCTTCTGCCCTGATGTATGTCATCCAGGTGAGTTCAGTTGTGACAAGGCAAGATGAAGGCATTTTTTTTTTCTCAGATAAATCGACTTTCAAAAGAACGTGGGAAATGGAAATGGATGGGAGGGGAGTGATGAATGTGTGTGGAGCCCAGGGGGTAGTTGGAAAATAAACAAGGGCAATGTTTCTGTAGTGTGGTGGGGTTACCTAGATGCATGTGGCAATGCCAGTGAAAAAGGGGACAGAAATTAGGGTAACTGTAGGTACAAGTAGGATGGCTACAGGACTTTAGAAGTGCCACCTATGTATATTTCTCTCTTCTAGCATCTTATCACCAGCTCTCAAAATCCCAAGTAAATTATGAAAACTAACTATTAATTTCCCTTACCAGAACTTCCTACATCAGCCCAAATACTATTCCAGCAGTTTAGGTGCCTCCAGTCCAGAAATAAGTTAAGGGAGGAAGGGTTCTTTGAAAATACTTTGGACCCTTTACTTCTCCCCATTATGAATCAGGAGGCCTTGAGTGATTAATCTGCTGGCTAAGAAAGGGGTCACTGGACTGGGGGATTCTGGACAATTGTCAAAGGGAAGTTTATACAGCAATGCAGTATAGTAAGAGAGAGAACAGATGAAAAAACTGGGTGTATCAGATTCCTGTACAGCTCCTGGCAGAAAGTGGGCTGTCTGTTTTGCTTCCTATATACCACTTAAACTGATCTGCAAATCTATTTTTTCCTTTCTTTCTCCTGTATTTTCTGTTTGCTTCCTCTTCTCTTTCTTTTCTTTCTATTTCCTTCATTTCTTCTCTCTTTACAACAAAGCCTGAGAAGTGGCATTTTATTTTCTGAGGACTTTAGGCTTCTCTTAACTTTAGCAAAGAAAGGGAAACGAAGTACCACAGTTGGGTTAAGGAAACCCACTCTTTTCATCCTGAGTGGCCATCTGTTTTAAATGACACCAAAAACTGATAACCAGGAGTTTCTCAAATATTACCTGCAGAGAATGGCTGTCAATCCTTTTCCAAATCTGTTTCGAGTCCTGAGTATGTGTGTCTCCTTGGCCCCTCACCCCTACCATAAACTCGCAGTAAATCTGTCTCTTTTTAAAGGGCCTTTGTTGTTGCTTTCCTGAAATAACAGGTCATTCAAGTTACTGGAGGACAGAAACAGCTTCTAGAACTAATGTTTACCTAGAAGAGTCTTTGAAAGAGAAAGTCAACTGAGATATAAGGTAGAAGAAGGAGTGGAAGGTTTCTTTATGAGGATTAGATGGGATTTTCACGATTTAATAGAACCGGGGACGAGCAATGTCAAGGGGTTTTAGAGCAAACTTGTCCCCGGTTTTATTAATTCATTCAACACATATTTATGATAGAGTTTGATCTGAATTCTGGCTATATCAATAGAGTGTACAGTTGGTCACATTACTTAAAATCTTGTGTCTTAATCCCTTGACTTTTCAAAATAAGGTTAAATATACCCGCCAGGAGGGTTATTGTGATCCAATGTTATAAATTATTAAAAATTATTAGCTATTCAATAAATAAGTGTTCCCCCCTTCTTGTCTTGTATGTTTAGTTATTGGCACACTGAGAGGATGAGAAAGGGAAGTGGGGTAGAATTCAATTTGCAACTGCGCAAGAATAAAGACAATAGCAATATCCTACGAGACAGATCAGGACATTTCTAAGACAAACACATTGATACAAATGACTGCCTGTCACAAAGGTGGTGATGCTCACCCACCACCAAAAAAGCAAGCAGATACTTACTCTTCCAGGCTCCCACCTCAAGCACAATAGTCAGCAGACACCGGAGAGATGAAAATAACCGTTCTAAATACGGACTGGCCCTGTGACCATGTCCTCATCTTTATCAATTGATGTAGCAGAGCGCAGCCATGAGAGATGATTGACAGGCTGCTGAGCACAGCAGATCAAATGATGACCCTGTCTGAGACTCTTTCCCTTCCTACAGCTTCCTGGGGCAAGAGGTGAGGAGAACTGTGTCAATCCAGAACAGTAAGTACCTGATAGTTCAAGCTGAGAGGGAGGGACGGACAAAATACCCCAAACGGGGTCAAGATGTCATTAGATATCTATGACTTCCCTTTGTTTATTTCTGTTTAAATGGGCATCCACCTACGAATCCCATAGACGGGTTATTAAAAAGTAAAGACATGTGTTTGTGTCATCCTAAGTACTGAAAATAACAATGCTGACAGCGATTTTCCCAAAGCTCGTCTTCCCTTCAAAGCAGCACAGTTAATGTCAGTTTATGTAGTCATTAAGACTTGCGAAAGACTTTCTTACCCATGCTTCTCAGTGACTCATCAGGACAAACTAGAGTCAAAATCTAGTCACCGACTGTATTTGGGTGGTTTCCAAAGTAGCATCACCACTTCAAATCTGAAAAACATTTTCTAGTTGTTAGGACATTTTAGTATTTTTTGCAGACTTCATTTAGCTATCACTTTGATGTAGGTATCACTTAGTCTAAACCTGTCATGATTAGGTTTTATGCAGAAGCATAGAACATAAAGAAAAATGCAAGGGATTCATCCTACCTGGAGAAACTATTAAAAACAAAAACAAAAAAAGAAAAGAAAAAAGTAGGGACGGCTTAAATAAAAGACTTCTTCAGGCTGAAGGAAAATGCATATTTAGCCACGGGAAGGGTTTCCCCAGAGCTGGTCTGTTAAACCCAGGGGAAGTGGTGTTGACCTTGATTAGCGTCCTGGGCATGTTGGGTTTTGGCTGCTGGACACAGGCGGTCAGAGGATTTAGACATCTACCACCATATGAAGAGTCCTCTCCCATAGAGTCAGAATCTGATGTAGAACTAGAGGGACTTTAACCAAATGTGGAACATGGTCTGTTAAACCCAGGGGAAGTGGTGTTGACCTTGATTAGTGTCTTGGGCATGTTGGGTTTTGGCTGCTGGACACAGGCGGTCAGAGGATTTAGACATCTACCACCATATGAAGACTCCTCTCCCATAGAGTCAGAATCTGATGTAGAACTAGAGGGACTTTAACCAAATGTGGAACATGAGAAAACCAAGAAGAGGCATTCATTATTCAGTGAAAAAACGAACTGTTTTTTACAAATGTGTGACCAAAGAGAAGATATAGAAATAGATTACAGGGAGGCTGGCTGGTTAGCACAGTCGGTTAGAGTGCAGTGATAGTACTCCAAGGGCAAGGGTTCGTATCCCCATGCTGGTCAGCGGCCAAAAAGAAAAAAGAAATAGATTTCAATAGATCGATGTATCAGAAAGTATTATTTTTTATAGTCATATCTTATGATGGTTTTAATTCACTTTATTCTTTTATTTTTTATTTATACATGTTTATGGGGTACAGAGTTGACTATCAGTATCTGTGTACACTTTGTGATGATCAAATCAATATTACTAGCATGTTCATTATTATAAATCATAATTCCTTTTTGTGTTCCTTACCCAATTACCGCCTATCCTCCCTCCTCCTCTCCCTTTCCCACCTCTAGTAGCTGAAGGTCTGTTCTGTCCTTCTGAAAGTTGGATGTATTATTATGGTCTTTCTTTCTTTGTTTGTTTCTTAGCTCCCCTGTATGGGTGAGGACATGCGGCAAAAGCATTACAAAAAACAAAATTCACCAATCTTCAAAGATATGCAAATACTTTCCCTCCCTTTCCCTTCCCCTAATTTTCTCTCACACTCCTTTCCCCATGCAATCCCTGCTTTTTTCCTCCTTGCAGAGAAAATGCACAATTGCCATAGTAAATTCAGAATACAAGTATTTAGTTAGCTTTCATTATGAAGTTGGCTTCTACTTTTTCCATCCTTCCTGTGTAGTCTCAGTGGATATGCATATCAGTTTTGACTCTGGATGTGAAAGTTTAGGCCCTTTGTATGGGGTGAGGGTTTGCAACAGCTTGCGAAACATGGATGACAAACTTGATTGTACTGCTGCCACACTTATAACTGAAATTTTCTTTACATTTATATTTTATTGACCTCAAGTATATATAAAACTTAATTTTTACATTTATGTTCAAACTCACTCTTTCTAAACTTGCATTCTAAATTCTATTTTGGTAATTTTCATCATAATTGCTTACAATAGTCATGGATACATATTCTATTAACACTTTTCATGATCATTGCTTTGGTCTCTTTTTACTGATTTGCAAAATGATTTGAACAATGCCGTCTATAGTGTAAAAAACTATTTAAGGCATGCCATTTCAGAATTGATTCAGCTAGCTACTTTGAAGTTTAAATAATATAACCCATGATGCTTTTATTATAACACAGTTCATATGCTTAAATGTGGAGTTATAACAGGCATTGACTGTATTTTTAACGTGAAAAAACTTTGTTCTTTCTTTGTAGTTGCCTGACCACAGGCTGGGTACATCTCTGGTATATATGGTAAGTTTCATTTATAGTACCTTGAAAGACACTTCAGTTCTCAGGGAAATTATTATTTTTTTTAAGTTTCTAAATGTATTATCAGCAGGAAAAAACATGTATGAGGCAGCCTGCTGACTTACTTAGCATCTCACGGAGTAAAGTTTCTTTACCTCATCACTAATCTATGTGACAATATTCCTTTTTTAATACCATCTCCTCAGCCAACATCAAAAGATTACTGTGTCTTTCCCTTAGGGTCTGCTCTAGAAATATCTCTATAGAAGAGATTACCTCAGTGTAGTAAAAAGCAACTTCTCCAAACTACCTGAAACGTTTTATTATTCTAGTGAGCTGACTTGGTCTTTCTTACAAAATAAAGAGGCATAAATGTAAAGTGAAAGCCTAGGAGTTAAAATCTTATAATTATTCTATGAAATATTCAAACAACAATCAAGACGCAGACATTCAGGACTGGTTGCGTCCGAGCTGGGAAGCGAGCCTGGCCGCAGACCTCCGGCTCTGGTTGCATCCGAGCTGGGAAGCGAGCCTGGCTGCAGACCTCCGGCTCGCTGCTGGGCTGTTGCAGGTTGCTGGTGGCCATCGGCGCGCTGCTCCTCCTATGTGGCCTGACGTCCCTGTGCCTCCGCTGCTGTTGTCTGAGTCGCCAGCGAAATAGGGAAGACGGGGGCCAACTGCCCTACGAAGTGACAGTCATCACTTTTGATCATGACAGCACTCTCCAGAACACTATCACTTGTGAGTACATGGGGCTTATCTCATGCCAGAGGGACGCAGATCTAAGTGAATGATTAGGTGGTACACGTAGAACCACTGATCCAGGGGTATGAACGATTCTAGGACTCAGGGTAGTTTCCATTCCAGAAGCCTGGTGGTGCGTGACCCGGGCTCTCGCTGATGCTGTATTCTTAAATATTTGGCTGACGACAGACTGAAGAAAGAAGTAAAATGCTAGGGGCCAGCCCGGTGGCGCACTGCTACAGTGCGCCGCTTGGGAAGCGCGGCAGCGCTCC